AGCATCAACCGCGGGGTAAGTACTCGTAACTCACTTAGGGACACCGTAGGACACATGGCTTTTGTTTCTCAAATTGAACCTACAACCATTTCCGAAGCAATAAACGATGAACATTGGACCTTGGCTATGCAAGAGGAGCTAAACCAATTCAAACGAAATGACGTTTGGGAATTGGTGCCAAGACCCGATGATCGTACGGTTATTGGTACGAAATGGGTGTTCCGTAATAAACTTGATGAAAATGGAATAATCACTAGAAACAAAGCTAGGCTCGTAGCTAAAGGCTACAATCAAGAAGAAGGCATTGATTTCGAAGAAACTTATGCACCCGTAGCACGTTTAGAAGCTATTCGTTTACTTCTTGCTTTTGCCTCGTCTATGGATTTTAAACTCTATCAAATGGATGTTAAGAGTGCCTTCCTCAATGGTTTTATTCAAGAGGAAGTGTATGTAGACCAGCCCCCGGGGTTTGAGGACTTTGAGTTTCCCGATCACGTCTTCAAACTCAAGAAAGCGCTCTACGGTCTCAAACAAGCACCACGTGCTTGGTACGAACGGTTGAGTAAATTTCTTTTGGATAGTGGTTTCCAAAGGGGAAAGGTTGACACTACACTTTTTATCAAGAGTAAAAACAATAACATCCTTTTGGTTCAAGTTTATGTAGACGATATTATATTCGGTGCTACTAACGAGTCTTTGTGCAAGGAATTCTCAACCTTAATGACAAGCGAATTTGAGATGTCCATGATGGGTGAGCTTACATTCTTTTTGGGACTCCAAGTCAAGCAAATGAAAGATGACACATTCATTTGCCAAACAAAGTACTGCAAGGAGCTCCTAAAACGATTCGAAATGGAAAACGCCAAAGCAATGGCGACCCCGATGAGCACGTCCGACCACCTAGACAAAGACGAAAAAGGTAAGGAGGTTGAAGTCAAAAAGTATCGAGGTATGATCGGATCCCTTCTTTATCTTACTGCTAGTAGGCCGGATATCATGTTTAGCGTATGCCTTTGCGCAAGGTATCAATCATGCCCGAAGGAATCGCACTTAACGGCGGTGAAACGGATCATGAAATACCTTGTAGGCACGGTTAACGTTGGACTGTGGTATCCTAAAGGCTCTTCGTGTCTTCTCGTTGGCTACTCCGACTCGGACTTTGCCGGTTGCAAATTGGACCGTAAAAGTACGAGTGGGACTTGCCACTTACTTGGTAGCTCTTTAGTTTCATGGTTTAGCAAGAAACAAGTCAGTGTTGCGTTATCCACAACCGAAGCGGAATACGTTGCCGCTGGTAGTTGTTGTGCTCAAATCCTTTGGATGAAGCAACAACTCGTGGACTATGGCCTTAGTATCAGTCACGTTCCTCTTCGTTGTGACAATACTAGTGCCATTAGCTTGACGAAGAACCCCGTTCTTCATTCAAGAACGAAACACATTGACATTAGGCACCATTTCATTAGAGATCATGTTATCAAAGGTGATGTCGAAATTGAGTTTGTTGAAACACACAACCAGTTAGCCGACATTTTCACAAAACCTTTAGAGAAAGAGTCGTTCTTCCGCATTCGTAGTGAACTCGGAATTCTTGACTCCACGATGATATAATGTGTGCATTTTATCATTCTTTTATCTTTGCTGGAACACTTACTAACTTGAGCGTCGGAGGGTTTTCTAACTCTTTTTTGCAGGGACGGTTCGAAGTGAAGAATTCTGGAAATCAAGGGGAACCAGCGATGGGTAGGCCATACCATCGCTGGGAGGGAAGTTTCTTTTTTTCAGAACCCCTCTTCCCATCGATGGGTGCTTCTTCCCATCGATGGGTAATTGACTCTTTTTTTAAAAAACCTTTTAACGTATTTCCAGAAACACCCTAACAATCGATGGGTACTTCATCCCATCGCTGGGTGAAGGACTTTTGTCAAAAACACTTTTTCCAGAACCTCCCCTCCCATCGATGGGAACCCTCTCCCATCGCTGGGTGTTTGACACTTTTAAAAAAAAAAGTTTTAACGAATTTCCAGTAGCCACCCTCCCATCGATGGGTGAGTATAACCATTGATGGGAAGGCAGTTCACCTTTTCTCCTTCGCTTTCCAGTGGCGACCTTCCCATCGATGGGAAAATCTACCCATCGCTGGGAAGGCTGGTGCATTTCAAAAATTCAGAGCCGTTGGGCACCACATTAATTGCCCAACAGCCATATTTTTGAATCCAAACGGCCAAATCTTCCCTTCCCTATATATACTCACCATATTTGTTCATTCTAATACACCATTAACATCATAATTTTACTCCTTGATCCAAATCTCAATATTTCATCTCTCTTCTTCATAAGCGTCTCAGCAATGGCCGGTGGAAAATCCAAGAGCAAGGCCTCGAAGAAGAAGACCGCCGCCGAGGCTACGAGCTCTGCACCTCAACCCTTCCCATATCTCGACGGTTCCTTCTTGGAGTTCGGGTCGGAAGAGGAACTCTCTCGCTTCATCACCCACTTCGCCAAGCGCCCCATCTCTCCGCCAAGGGTGCTACCCGAGCTATACCCTCAACAGAAGGGTTACTACGACCTTGACAATCAACTCAAGGAGTCGGGTCTGTGGCCCTTCGTCTCCCGCAGTCGCACCTCCTTCAATCCCGCTTACGTTTGGGCTTTCTACTCCAATCTCCGCCGGGACGGGGACACTATTCGCTGTAGCATCAATCTCGTGGACTTAGAGTTTGATTTAGCTACCTTTGCCCGGATCGCAGGTTTGCCCACTCGCGGTGACGACATCGCGACTTATGGTGGCGATGATTGGATCCTCAACAACGAGGCGGTGGTCATCCGAGAGCTTGGAATCACCAACCTCGTCCGTCACAGCGGTGCACCAACCATTCACTCAGCCCCGCCGGAGAAGCGCCTTCTACTCTACATCCTCACCCGGATTCTTCGCCCCCGGGATGGCAGCCACACGTGTCTCTTCAACGAGGACCTCAAGGCCGTTCATGCAATCACCCATGGCGCCTCGATCAATTGGGCGAAATACGTCATGATCCACATGGCGGATTGCGCCTCAATCTCCACCGAAAGGAGCTTGCCATACGCCTTCCTCGTCATGGATCTCATTGTCGCATTCGAAATTCACATCGTCGGCCCGGACACGAAGATGACAAAGATCTGGATCATCCAAGACAGCACCTTCCGGAAGAAGTCCGGTGACGAAACAGGCGCTGGACCGAGTCGGGCCCGTGCCCCTGCCCCTGCCACTGCCCCCGCTCCCGCTCGGGCCTCACTGCAGTCCATGGCCGATACCCTGAATCGGCTAACCGTCACCGTGGATGGCATGGGCCAGTACCTGGAGTGGAGAGGATGGACTGGTCGATACAACGCCAAGGCCACGACATGAGGGCGTACTTCCGCGGCATCAACTACGTCCCGCCGCCCTTTGACAGCACCTTCCTCGGCCAAAACTATGAAGGCGAGGACGACGAGGATGACTCCTATGCCCCGTCCTCCTCCCCCGACGAGGCCGACTTTGATGAGGCGGTCGACGGGGATGCCATGGACATCGAGAACGACGAAGAAGACGATGACGACGAGGACGAGGACGCCGCTGCCTAGACTCTTCTTTCTTTTACTTCCCTCTATGATTGTCCTTTTTATTATTTCCTTTCCCTTGTATTCCGCATTTCCTTTTAAAGAAATAAAAGTTCACCTTTAAAATCTAAAGTTTACTTTTAATTCTTTTTGTTAATGTCAAAAGGGGGAAGATATCAAGGTTATGCATAAATGGAGGGGGAATTATTTTTTCAAATAAAATGGCATCTATTAAGGGGGAACATTTTTTTAGTCTCAAAGACTTCCTCATATGCATAACCTCATCTCGTTTGCCATTATCAAAAAGGGGGAAATTGTTGAAACACGGGCATGTCACGTTTTCGTACTAAAGCCGTGTTTGCTTTTATGACAGGTTTTGATAATGCCAAACCGCCGTGATCAAGTCAAACATTGAATATACAAGGCGAAGAAGGAAGACAAGAACAAGAGCTAAAAAGAAGACCAAGAACGAAGACCGTAGTCTTAGTGTCGTTGAGTCGGTCCTTATTGTGATCAAGACCGATCCAATCTTTACACATTGGCTCTTTAGGCTAAAATCCTTCATTGCATTTCTTACATCATAAAAATGTTTTTCAAACTGGGTTAAGTCATTAAAAACACTTGGTGTTCGCCCAAACCAAAAACCAAGCCATCTAGCGTTCGGGTTTCAGAAACCGGCGTTCGGCTTTCGGTTATCGGCATTGGTTTTTGGCGTCCGAACCAACCAAGTGGTTTTCAACTTTTTATGATTGGTTTTCGCTCTTTGGCATGTTTAAACGGTTCTCCAACAAAAACACCTTGAAAACCATCTTTCGCTTTTGGTCGTTTGGCAAAAATCATTCAAAAACGGCATTAACTTGGCTAGCCGTGTTTTTCACTCAAATGACGTGGTTTTTAAAGTGTCTTACTTGATTTCTTAGCCAAATACATCAAATAAGTGTTCTAAACACTTGGTCTTTATTTTGGAGAACTTTGGATTTTTCGGTCGGTTTTTGCATCGGTTGGCTAGGCCGTGGTTAAGCCAAAAACCATGGGTTCTTGACTAACCACCCACCCAGCGATGGGAAGATCTTCCCATCGATGGGTAAGCGGTCCCTTAGCCAAACCTATTTCCAGAACCATGCCAAGCAGCGATGGGAAGTTCTACCCATCACTGTTCAAGCCTTGGTACAAAATTAACACAAGGCAGAACAACCTTGCCCAGCGATGGGAAACCTATCCCATCGATGGGAACCCAGCGATGGTAAGTATAAACCATCGATGGGAAGCCATGACCGTTGTAGGTCATTTAAGGTTGATTCTTTCCTTGTTTGGAAGTCAACCTCCCAACCAGCGATGGGAAGCTTGTACCCATCAATGGGTAGGTGACCGTTGACTTCAAATCTGAAGGAAAATTGGCTTACCAGCGATGGGTAAGTCCTAAACATTGATGGGAAGCCAATATTCTGCAGATCCCAAATCTTTTCAATCCCATAAATCAAGCTAATCACCCCTTTAATGCATTGGTCCGTTGGAGCCTAATTTTGCACTATAAAAAGGGGTGTTTGGGTCTGCTTTTCTCACCAATTCACTTCACAACATCTATACTTTCATTGCATTCAAATATCACGATTTTCCATAGCTTTCTAGAGCCATTTTTGTGTGAAGGTTGAGTTGTTCTTGAGCGTACTTAGTTTACTCAAAATCTACTCTATAGGAGAGTCTCGTTCTTGAGTGTACTTGTGTTCTTAGACACGTTGAGAGATAGTATCTCTCTCGGTTGATTCAAAGGAAGGTCTGTTTCCTTTGAAGGATTTGTTGAGGTTCGTGTGACTCGAACTCTCAAGTTGTAACGATTTGTTAAGCACCCGTAAGCTTAACAAGATAGTAGTGTAGCTCGAGAGAGTCTCTCGGGAGGCTGGATTAGCCACAAGTTGTGGTGAACCAGGATAAAATTCGGTGTGCCTTTTACTCTTCTCTTTACTACTCTTTTAATTTTTTAATTCCTGCGATTTCTCTGATCAAGCGCTATTCACCCCCCCCTCTAGCGTTGGTCTATTATTCTAACATTAGTTTTCAATTTCTTCTAGTTTCTTCCAGTTTCTTTCAGTTTCTTCCAGTTCCTTCCCGTTTCTACCAGTTTCTTCCAGTTTCTTGCAGTTCCTTCTAGTTTTTTCTAAATTCTTTCAGTTTCTTACAGTTCTTTCCAGTTCCTTCCAGTTTATTCCAACCTTTTTCATTTTCTTCAAATTCTTTCGACTCCTCAACCCATTACCCTAAAAATAATACTCCGTATATTTCAATGTGATTATTATTATTATTATTATTATTATTATTATTATTATTATTATCAATATCATTATCATCATCATCATCATAATCATAATCATCAATATGGATAAAATAGTTACATTCAATGTTTTATTAATATAACTTTTTATAAGACATCTCAATTTTTCCTTTATTACTTAAAATTGCTCATTTTCCTAATTTTTATAAAAAAATTATAAGTCAGAAAAGTTTAGAGAAAAAGACTAAAATATGAGTAAAACATATTTAATATTTTTATATTTATGCTAATTTTATATTAAAATTATTCTTTGTAAAAGTAGTTTTTTGTATTTAAAAAATAACAATACTTTTTTATATCTTAAAGACATTTACTAAGATAACGTGATGATGATTATGTTGATGATTATGATGATGATGATGCTGATAATGATAATAATAATAATAATAATAATAATAATAATAATAATTTATAACAACAAGAGTTTAAAATAAATATTTTAAAAGTTTTTTTTAGGTTTTCTAGTTTTTTCAAGTTTCTTCTAATTCCTTCCGGTTTTTTTCAGTTTTTTCCAGTTTTTTCCAGGTCCTTCCCGTTCCTTCTAGTTTCTTCTAGTTTTTTCTAATTTTTTCGATTTTTTCCTATTTTTTTCAATATCCAGCTCTTTTAATCATTAAAAAAATAAGTTTGATTACATTATGTGACATGTCTTATATTTAAAACAAAATCTTGTAATATATAATATATAATTGCATATATATTATTTTATGATAAATACTGCATAACCATAATAACTTTTAAGTATTTACATTTTGATATTTATGGTAATGTTATATTCTAATCAATTTTTTTTCAAAAGTATTTTTTTGTATTAAAAATAAAAATATTTTTTTATCTTAAAGACATTTATTAAGGGCTTGTTTGAGAATAGCTTTAGCGATTAGAGTTAGTGTTTTGTAAAGGCTATCTACGGACAGCGTTTAACGTTTTCAAAATAATCTGCACCGTTAAAATTTTATCCAAAACGCTAACACTAATTTCTAATGCTATTCCCTAACAGGCCCTAAGATAACGTGATGACACTACCACCACCACCACCAACAATAACAACAACAATAATAATAATTTAACAACAAGAATTAAAATTGAGAATAAGATAAAAACACACAAAAAAAATTTTCAGAGTTTTTTTTGAATTTTCTAATTTTTTCTAATTTTTTTAAATTTTTTCCAAAATTTAACGGTCGAACTCTTAATTTCCAGTTTCTTCCAGTTTCTTCCAATTTCTTTCAGTTTCTTCCAGTTCCTTCCACTTTCTACCAGTTTCTGCCAGTTTCTTCTAGTTTCTTCCAGTTTTTTTCCAAATTCTTCCAGTTTCTTACAGTTTCTTCCAGTTCCTTCCAGTCCTTCCAGTTTATTCCAACCTTTTTCATTTTCTTTAAATTCTTTCGACTCCTCAACCAATTACTCTAAAAATAATAATCCGTATATTTCAATGTGATTATTATTATTATTATTATTATTAATATTATTAATAATATTAATATTATTATTATCATTATCATTATCATCATCATCATCATAATCATAATCATCATTATGGATAAAATAGTTACATTGAATGTTTTATTAATATAACTTTTTATAAGACATCTTAGTTTTTCCTTTATTACTTAAAATTGCTCATTTTCCTAATTTTTATAAAAAAAATTTTAAGTCAGAAGAGTTTAGAGAAAAAGACTAAAATATGAGTAAAACATAAAAAAATGTAAACAAAAAAGTTCTATGTCTTATTTCCAAAAATAGGATTTCAATGAAAATAAAATGTCAATCATGAAAGAAACAATATGTTTGATTATGTGACATGTATGATATTTAAAACAAAATGGTTTAATATATAAATTATAATTACAAATACATTATTTATAATAATGTATTTGTAAAAATAAATTGAGTTGCAATATAACTACACAACCTTTTTAAAATTTAATATTTTTATATTTATGCTAATTTTATATTAAAATTATTTTTGGTAAAAGTAGTTTTTTGCATTTAAAAAATAACAATACTTTTTTTTATATCTTAAAGACATTTACTAAGATAACGTGATGATGATGATTATGTTGATGATGATGATGATGATGATTATGATGATGATGATGATGACGATGATGATGCAGATAATAATAATAATAATAATAATAATAATAATAATAATAATAATAATAATAATAATAATAATAATAATAATAATAATAATAATTTGTAACAACAAGAGTTTAAAATAAATATTTTAAAAGTTTTTTTAGGTTTTCTAGTTTTTTCAAGTTTCTTCCAGTTCCATCCAGTTTTTTCCAGGTCCTTCCCGTTCTTTCTAGTTTCTTCTAATTTTTTCCAGTTTCTTTCGATTTTTTCCTATTTCTTTCAATATCAAGCTTTTTTTACCGTTAAAAAAAATGTCCTAAATCTTTATTTATAAAAATTAAGGAGTACTCCATACTACCTAATTATTTGTCGTCCTCGTTCGAGACCTCCTCCAAAATTTCCCCAAAACCTTCCTATCCCTAGCAGACTTTGGAGAAGGGAGTGAATTGAGGCTGGAAGTCCGAGACAAACACCTTGAAGACATAGAATTTCTCGCGAGGACTCGGTCTCCACGCCACCAGAGAGAAGCGGTGACTAAGCCGGAGGAGAGGTATGTCGTCGACGCTACTTGAGGTAACCCGCGCGTCACACGAGGAGATAGAGCGGCTCGAGCGGGTCATCGTTAAGGATCTCCAGACCGAGCCGGCCACCAATAAGGACCGCCTCTACCAGAGCCACCGCGTTCGCAACGTTATTGAGAGAATCATTGACACCACGCACAGACTTGTAGTTTTCATATCCGTTTTCTGTTCAATTTTTCTATTTCGTTGTCTAGGTTATTGACAATAGTTTAGTTAAGCGAATCGTCTGTGTTGTTGATGGCCAGGTCGATATCTATGAAGATAAAGACGGGGCGCGGANAATTATTGTTATTTACTATAGTAGTATTTACTCTGAATTCGAAAAGAAATCATTGACTCCCTTATAAGAATATGACATGCTTCCTCCGCCCCAAAACCTTCTCCGTACTTAGCAATTTTGGTATCCCAAATGCATCTTCTCATTAGTTTTTAGAAGTTTTTAAATAGTGAATACATTATCACTCAACTAACCAAATAGATTATACCCCTCATTTGTTAAATAGTCAATTAGTCTTTTTCCAAACAAATACCACTTTCCAAACTACTCTTGAAAGCCGTGTATTTTCACATGGACTCTTTGGGGGGGGGTCATATATTTTAGTTATATCTAGTGCAATTTATACTGACAAAACTTGCTCGTCTAATGGTCTAACATATGTATTTGTTCTTGGATGTATAGACACGCGAATACCATAGACGGAATCTTGGTGCACGTGTTCTTGACACCAGTGATGAGTATGAACAACTTCTCAAGCATGAACAACCAATTACGTTTAGTGGGGAAGTGAGTGCTTTTACAATTCTTGCAATTATTTGTGCATGCATTTGCATTTGGATGACTTGTGGCAGCACTTCAGTGCCCAAATCCTTTAGAGAGTAATAATTTGCTATACCATTATAGATTTTATAGTAGTATTTGTTGTTCACAAAAAGAAATAATGATTTAGAACAAGATAGGATTGTGAAGGATCTATACAGAAAAGCTTCTATAAGAGATTCCTGTTATGGATTTATTACCAAAATTTGCAGTAAAAATGTAGGAGCAGCTGACACTGTCTAGGGAGTAAAGTTTTCAAATTGGAAAAAGCATTTAGTCAGATTGAACTTATGCCAATTCTGAGATTTTTGTTTGTTTGCAGTTGTAGTTAAGTTTTTAGCTTTCCCTATGCAAGCTCCATAGTCCACAGAGAGGGACCGATTCATAGATGTAAGAAATTACGAATGACTTCTGTAATGGGAGAATGTGTGGAATTTGGACCAACAATCAATCTGTTTTTTTAGGGATTTGTGGATTTAGATATTTATTTTAATTGCATAACAATAACACTTCTCAAAATGGTCCTTGTCGCCAAGGGTCAGGCATTGGAGATTCCAGGTATTGTTGCTGAAAGCTATACCACGAAACCCATGGAATCTCTTCCTCCAAAACTCCTCTCCATCAAGTTACACTTAAATTATCAATTAGTTTTTCTTCCTACCAACCTGTGACTGCAGAATAGTTTCTGAAACTTTTTCCATGCTTAATTTGATGAGAACATTACCCCCTAGCTCTTTTGTCCAGCATATGGTTCAAAATTCTCTCAATAGGATTTGATCATCAATGCTTTTACCATGTTCGAAGCCTCCTTGCTCTGGGGATATAACTTTATCTAGAGTACTGCCGAATCTAGAGGCTAGAATTCTATTTTGATTTTGCTCATGAAGGTGAAAGTGAAATAGGCCCACAGTCACCAAATCCCTTTGCATCTTCCCCATTAGGTATGAGGGTGATAAAGCTACTTCCATAGCTAGTTGGGACTGGAAAGCCCATGAAAAATTCCTGACTATCTTTCCAGACATCCTCGTGGATTATCTCCCAAGTTCTTCTAAAAAATTGGCCATTATAACCAAATAGTCCCCTAGCACTGCCAGGGACTTTATTCATTAATAGATTATCTTCATCACCGATTAGTTCAGATTTCCAGTTCAGGATGCCCCTCTGTTTCAAATTTGTCCCTTTTGCTGAATATATCTTGAAATAAAAAGCTGCTTCATCCTATATAATTTTCTTCTCTGTGGTTATTATCCTCTCCTTTGTTCCGAACTTCTTGATAGTCATCTTAGCCGACATACCTATATGGGGGGTGGGTGGGTGGGGGGGGGGTCTTTGAATAAGTCAAAATCAAGAAAAAAGTTGAAAAATGCGGTGCCATTTTTGAAAATGCACTACCTTATTCGGAAAATGCACCATAACGAACAAAAACTCAATCATTTTCATTTCTCATTTCAAGGGTCATTATCACCAGAACCAGCGCCTACATATGTGTGTGTATGTATGTGTGTGTGTCTGGGGAAATCCATTTTGGGGGAAATCCATTTTGGTGTGTGTGTGTGTGTGTGTGTGTGTGTGTGTGTGTGTGTGTGTGTGTGTGTGTGTGTGTGTGTGTGTGTGTGTGTGTGTGTGTGTGTGTG